AGGTCTGTCTTATCAGGTAAATTACTGTACACAGTGTATTCATTAATTTTCATTTTCATGTAGTAAAGGCTTTATGCCTTCATAAAGTACGTACTTTTCCTTTGTTTAAGGGTATTTGGGCAGTTTATTCTCTGTTGTATTCTCCAGCAAACAATACATACAAGTACAGTACACTATTTTCTGAGGAAACACTCATACTTATCCTTTTTTAACCCCATTCCCGATAACCCGGCATTTTCACAAACTCGGCCACACTTCGGTCCACATTAGGCCGAGTTTTCGAGGTTCTACTGTAGTATGTAAATAGAAGACACGACACAATATAAATAAAAGAAATGAATTCCACTCAGAAAAAGATTTTTGGAAAATTTTCTAGTTCTTTTTTTTTTCTTTTTCTTTGGAAGCTGCCATGGCCCCTTAGCTTCCCTGGGTGTGCGTGCCACTGTGTAGAAATATGGTTCCTTTGACTTTCTTGCTCCTACAGGTATGATCTACAGCTCTAAGGTCTCAGCTGTCTCATTTAGCGGTGTAATTGTACCAGTATTTGTATTTCTGTGACAATAGGATGGGAATTATGAGATGTTTACTGGCTTCCAAAAATGCAGAAAAATATGGGTTTATTAAATTTGATAATGTAATGGGTTGCGTTTTAATTTAACTTAACTATAATTTATTATTGATTAACTCCTTATGACCAGTGCTGAATGGATAAAGTCACTGAACATTGGTAGTGATCCTGGATTTACACTGGGTCAGCCATGTAGATTGTTTTCCAGCTTAACAAATGCAGCAATCAATGCAATCTTTTCACCATGATAATTGATTTATACAGGCTTATAAAACAGAGTTTAGGTAAGATAGATTTACACTCTTTAGATGACTTAATCCTGTATACTGGCATTGACATAACTCCATTTGCACAAATGCCATCAGGAATCATTAGGAAAAACTTGATGAAGATTGTAAGAACCTGATGCAGAACTGATTTCCTAATAGAATATCATATGAATGGAGTTATATCAATGTTGTTATACAGAATTTAGTAACCTAAAGGATATGAATCTTTACCCAAGTTCCATTTTACATGCCTGAGTAAAGGGATTAACATTGTGAGAAGATTGTTTGCATTGATTGCTATGCTTGTTAAGCTGAAAAATGCTTAACAAGCAAATCTGCTAATGCCTACATGCATGAATCCACATGAAATCATTACATTTTATGGGATGCTGGTCATGCAGAGTTTTATGGATTATTCTACTTGTATGTAACACCCAAGCTTGTTTCCCATAGAAAATTCTCTTGGGAGGACTTTGTTGTGTTGCCATCCTATCAAAGAAATTATATATATATATTTATATATCTTATTTAAGAAATGCTTATTTAACAGAAAATTTTAGTCAACATAATGATATGGCAAACTTATAAGAAATTTGATACAAAATATGTGATTTCTGCTGTTTATCTTTAAAAAAATACTTTTTTAAAATAATAATTGTTGTGACTTCTAAAAGTGTAATAAATAAATAAACATAATTTATTTTGTGAATTAGATTTAGACTCGTATTAAATTATTTCGATCAGTTACATTTTTATTAAATTTTATAATAAAAAGTTACCAACTTTTAACTTCAAATAAAATTAATTAAAAATAAAATTATAAGTATCATTGATGATGAAATCAAAATTCTTCTGTCATATTTATCATATGGTTCTCTAAACTCAATAACTTTTAGTTGCATTGAGTATGCTGAGTGTCTATTAAGCTCATTTATAATTGGTGTACTGAATTTTAGAATATTTTGATGGAAATTGTTTTATCATCATTGATTTGTTTATTAAACTTTTGAATGCATCTATACCAAATTATTTCTAAGATATCTATAGATAAAAGTAATTAATTTCATGTAATTCTCAAATGAAATTACTGCCACATATTGTTAAATGTCACTGCTAGAAACTTAGTGCAATTTATGTGGAACTACTCTAACATTTGATGTGCTAATAACATTTTGGAATTGATGTTACAGAATTTTAAAAAATTTAAGTACTGTGTTTGACCAGATGTCTGTGTTAAGATTTAAGTACTTTGGAAAAATTTACAGTATATGATAAAAAATTTTGAACTAATAGTGAACTTGACATGTATAATACATGATAACATAACTGCATTTTGTTTTATTCAAAGTCAAGTTGAATTTAATCTTGAATGTATTAAGCAATTTGAGTAGTATTTGTTAACATGGAGATAAACAAGCACAATGGTTTGAAATTTAGTATGAAATTCTAAAAAAACTAACTTGAAAAGATTTAAAATGATAAAAAGTCTTTTGTAGATGAAATTCTGAATTGATCATTAAACTGAAGAATTAAATGCTCCACAATTATCATTTAATAATTAGAGAAATGACTGAATAAGCCTTCTCAGTCAGTCATTGTTTGTGGCAGATAATTGTAATTAAAAATATAGATATGTGTTGTTATAAGATTCGTTTTGCATATTTTTATGGTTCTCTGAAAAAAAACTTGCTTTACATTTGCTGGAATTTTTTAGAATAAGAGAAAGAGGATGAAAACTTCTTTAAAGCAGTTATATTAGAAATGAGACACAGATATGTGATTATGATCAAAATCAGTTCATTATAATTTTAGTGATTATTTTATTTGACGATGTCCGTGTTGAATGGACATCATCATTTAGCCCGATGATGCCTGTTTATTTGGTTTTTGTGGCTGTTTTTATCAAATTTATGTTTCTCACTATTAAAATTTTCATACTACAAATTTAGTATTACTAATATTAAAATATTTTTAGTATAGTATTAATATTTTTAAGATCTAAAAATATACAAATTATATAAATATTAAAAAAAATTTAAATGTTTTTAGGCTAGTTCAGTACCAGCATCTGTGACAGAACAAATTATTGAATCTTCAAATACTTCTACACTTTTAGAAGCTGTTGAACCTAGTTTGATTAGTCAAGGTCTTGGTGGTTGGACTCCTGTTGGACTATTACAACATGCTTTTGAATATTGCCATATAGATTTTGACATGCCATGGTGGTTAACAATTGTTGTTAGTAAGTATATATTTATTAATAACTTAGTAAAAATTTATTTGAGAGTTTACTAGTTGTTCATAATAGTGTGATTTGCTTTTTTGTGAAAAATTACATTTTGCATATTTAATTTAGAATGTTTCATTGGAATAAAATTTGAATACCATATCATCTCCTTATTTTTTCTAACATTTATACTCATATTCTGGGCTATGTGAAAATTTATAAATTTAGAATTAACTTTCAAATTTTAAATATTCCAAAGCAATTATTAAAAACATAACAATAATAATAAATTATTATATTTTAAATTAAAATTGAAGACCAAGTCTTTCAGAAAAGTAGTCAGACTTGGTCTTCAATTTTAATTTTAAACTTTAATCATCATCTGCCAAAAAAATTTAAACATTATATTATATATTTATATCTAAAAACAATTCATTCATTAACAAATTTTAACTATTAAAAATGCTTAAAAATACAACTACTATTTAATTTACATGCATTTTAAACAATTGATTCAAAAAATATACAAAGGAAATAAATTCTAAATAGGTTACTAATATAACAANTTTTAAATTGTAAAAATTTAAAAAAATATGTTATCCGATGCTATTAATTGTATCAAGTTTGTGACTTAAATTCAATTTAATGACTTTTACTATTACTTTCTATTTTGAAGACGTATCAGTGTATAAAGGCATACCTAATGCGAAAATTTGTCTTAAGAAAACTCGTTTCTCTACACTCTTTCATTCCTTTCTTTGCTTATTACAATCAAACTTAATTCACGGTAAAGGAACAATTAAGTTCCGTCTTTTCAAAATAATAAAATTATAATAAAAAATTGTTACTTTGATATAAATTTAAATTTTCCGTAACACATTTCAATATAAATTAATCAAAACATAAAGATAATGTTTAGTGCATATTACAAATAAGGTTAAAAAGGGGAATATTTTACGAAAGTAAGTCACAAATTCCATTATCTTTTTGACACTACATTAAGTACTACTTTTTTTATTTACTTATAGAAAATCTGGACACACTTTTCTATTCTTAAATAATAATGAAATACTGAACACTTTGTCCTTATTTTAATATAGGTTATATTAATACATTACAAAATATTGATATAATAGCAATATACTACAATCGGATGATCGAGAAGGTAAAAACAACAGCATTCTCTCTTCGGAACTCGAGTTCGGTCAGGATCCACTCAAATTTTCATGGACGTGTTAATACGAATTAGTTTCTCATAATCCACCTCCATTATGGGTGTAGTCGAATTCATGTGCTTTTTAATGTCTGTAGACTTTTAAAAAATAATTTAAATATTAAAAAAAATTTAAATGTTTTTAGGCTAGTTCAGTACCAGCATCTGTGACAGAACAAATTATTGAATCTTCAAATACTTCTACACTTTTAGAAGCTGTTGAACCTAGTTTGATTAGTCAAGGTCTTGGTGGTTGGACTCCTGTTGGACTATTACAACATGCTTTTGAATATTGCCATATAGATTTTGACATGCCATGGTGGTTAACAATTGTTGTTAGTAAGTATATATTTATTAATAACTTAGTAAAAATTTATTTGAGAGTTTACTAGTTGTTCATAATAGTGTGATTTGCTTTTTTGTGAAAAATTACATTTTGCATATTTAATTTAGAATGTTTCATTGGAATAAAATTTGAATACCATATCATCTCCTTATTTTTTCTAACATTTATACTCATATTCTGGGCTATGTGAAAATTTATAAATTTAGAATTAACTTTCAAATTTTAAATATTCCAAAGCAATTATTAAAAACATAACAATAATAATAAATTATTATATTTTAAATTAAAATTGAAGACCAAGTCTTTCAGAAAAGTAGTCAGACTTGGTCTTCAATTTTAATTTTAAACTTTAATCATCATCTGCCAAAAAAATTTAAACATTATATTATATATTTATATCTAAAAACAATTCATTCATTAACAAATTTTAACTATTAAAAATGCTTAAAAATACAACTACTATTTAATTTACATGCATTTTAAACAATTGATTCAAAAAATATACAAAGGAAATAAATTCTAAATAGGTTACTAATATAACAAATTACTTTAACTTAGCAATTATATGTTAGGTGTCTAACAAGATTACCATGTTAATTATTTTTCATATGCAGAAAACTAGAAATATTCATGAACTTTAAATAGTTTAATAAGCTCTTTAAAATGGATTTAAGTGTAAATTTAGAATTCTAGCCTGTTTCATCAACAACTTTTTATTTATCAAACATTTTTGGCTATCTTAGTAGCTATCCTCAGGATCAAACATTCATGTACTAGACTTCTTTTAAATTAGATTTTAATTTTGACATTCTTAGAAGTGTTCTAAATATGAATTGATTATATATAATAAAAAAAAACACAAAAAATAATAATAAAGATACCATAAAATACAAACAATGATGATAAACTACAAATCAATTGAATATAATGATAAATAAAAAATTGTTACTGGAACAAACTAGAACTCTTTAAATTTAAGTAGTTTGTTAAATCTTAGAATTTTTTTGAACATTACTATATTACAAAGGATTTCCATCAAGAGTTTGCAAAAAGATTTTATGCAAACTCTTGATATATTAAGTTTTACACACTTATTTGTGTGTTGAGGCAGAGAAGATCTTCCAAATATTTGTTTGAAAGATCTTCATTGTTCTTTCTGTGATGTAAGAAGGATAGAAATGTAGACACTGTGTGCATTTTTAGTTATTCATATTTACTTCTAAACCTTGATAATATAAAGTAACATTCCAAAAATATTTTTTATTTTTTACAAATTGCTAAATGTTTGACTTGTACTATAATACCAATTTTAATTAACATATAATATAGATTATATTTTATTTTACTTTTAATCATAATATATCAGTGAGTTTTCTTCATAATTATTGTCAAAATAGTTATAATTAGTTTTGGATGTTTTATAATTGATGACTATGCGACAGATATAAAATTTCTCATAAATTTTCTTATATTTAATTATATTACATATTCAAAAAAAATGTTTTTTAAAGTTGAATTAGTAAAATATTTCTTAAATTTTGATTTTTAATAATAATATATTAATAAGCAAAATTATGATTTTATATTTGAATTATTATAGGTACTGTTGTTATAAGGACATTAATGTTTCCACTGGTAATAAAGGCACAAAAAAATGCAATAAAAATGAATAACACACTACCTCAGATGCAGGTATTGCAAATGAAAATGTCAAATGCAAGAAGAAGTGGTAATGCATTAGAAGGTATGTAAATAAATAAAAAGTAGTAAGCTTTTATGATACTTTTTATCATAAAGTACAGTCGACCCCCCTATAAGATAGAGATACGTTCCATTCTCTAGGAATCCGCTTTCTTACGAATCCTTCCAATCACAACCCGACACGTGTCAAGTTTACGGACTACGGCTGTTTGAAAGATTTTCTTCCATAAAATTAATCGATTCTAGACTAATCCGACTCAACATTTCCAAAATACGTATATATTTTTTGGGAATAATCCGTATAAACTACGCTATAAACAAAAAATTGTAGGATTACTTACCGAGTGTCACCATTCGACATTGCCATTGCTCAACATTGTTTTCGTCGCGGAACAGCTCAGCAAAGAGCGGCCGATTTCTAACAACTTATTTTTCTGTGAAAACTTCGTTGAACTTCGGAGACATCATTAATATAAATAATTTTAATCGCCGTTGAATAAGAAATGTTTCTTTCACAAGAAATGTATAAAATTACAGTACTGTATTAGACTTACGGTACCTAATTTACATACTGACAGACGATAGTTAGCGTAAAAATCTCCGTAGCGTGGCGCCACGCTAGACGGCGGAAATTATATATTTAATTATAACAAAGTTACAATAAGTTAATATATAATTATATATACAGTACCTAATTTATATATAATTAATATATAATTATATGTACAGTACCTAATTTATATATAATTTATATAATACTGTCCAGACGATAGAAATCTCTCCGTAGCGTGGCGCTACGGACGGCGGGAAAGTAGTTCGGCTTCCTGATGACGTTTGAGGTGTTTATAGGGAACTTTTACTATTTTTTACGGATACCGGTAGCAATTTTTTCGTAGTTTTATAGGAATCGTAACTATAGGGACCGTAATTATAGGGGGGTCGACTGTATATTATATCATATAAGCCCCATTTTCAATATTAAATATATTAATAAAAAATTACAAGTAAAATTATAAAGTAAAAATTTATATTTCTTTGAGAACTGTAATCAAATTATTTAATAAAATTCAATTAAGTAAATTATTATGAAAATTTCAGCATATTTTATAAATTAATATATTTATGATTATGGATTTATCGATATTCATAAAACAGTCAGAAAAAATTACTTTAAAACACAAAAGTAGTTCTTATTAGCTGAAAAAAATAAGATTAAAATACAAAATTCAAATATTATTCTAAGGCATAAGACAAAAATGATATTTTACATTATTTTATGATTTAAATTGAAGTTATACATAATCAAAATTTAAAGCATAAATGTTAAAAAATATTTTTTAAGGATATAAGAAAATCAAATGTTTTTTAATTCTTAAAAATAAAAAATTGGAAATAAATTACTGCAATAACTGGATGTACAATGTAATAAATTACATGAATTTATTAAACAAACTAACATTTTCAATCTTGTTTAAAGGCTATCATCAGGTACTGATGTTAGGACAAAACAGATGAAACAAAAAACAAAATTTTAAAATACAAAAACTGTTGTACAATTTAAAACATATTGAATGTTGTATGTGCAAAGGTAAAACATAAAAGTAGGTTAACAATTTATTAAAATAAAATCATTTGTTTTATGAATTTAACAAATTAATAAATCAGAATGTTATCATTGCCTTTAAACAAGATTGAAAACGTTTGTTTAATAAATTTGTGTTCTTCACTACTGGATATAGGTGTTTTTTAGAAGTAAAATTTAATAAAGTATAAAAATTTTCATTTTATTTTAAATTGGAAATTTTAAAATTTTTTTATTAAGTTTTTTTTTATGATTTAAAGTAATACAAAAATTTAAAACTAATATTTCATTATAGAATATTAGTTTTAAATCACTTTCTAATATGTGGTACAATTTACGAATGTCTGTGCCATGTTTAAGAAAAAAATTTAAAACTAATATTCTGTAAAGTGTTTTAAAACTCAATAAAACTTGTTATTATTATTAAGATGGACAAATGCTTTTTTTATATAAAGTCTTTCTATTAACTATTAGTTAACTGAGGCAGAGTTCTAGTGAAGCCTCTTTTATATAGCTTATATTGAGTTTGTTCTCAAGATTTTGATTGAACATTGTCATTTTACATATGAAACAATGAAATTAAAAATGTTATAAAAATTTTGGTCCATGTTTTCATTTCTTTTTTATGTTAGCAGTGATGTCACAGATGCAGTAGCAGCAAATGATCATTGTAGATGACCACTCCCCAAAATAATAATATTGACTTACTAGCACTTTAATTTGTTTTCTATCCATGTTTGAACAGAAAACAAATTGTGCCTAGTATTAGAAAATAACAATTGTTTGATTATAGTCTTATTAAAACTAGGATTAGAAATTTTATTTCTAATCTTAACAATCTACATATATATTACTATATATTTAATTTTACTTATATGTCTTGCTTACTTTATTTTTTAAAAATTTATCTTTACTAAAAAGTTTACAATAATAACTTCATGAAGTTTTTAACAATAATTTTTTGTTATCCTGTGCTTATGACATTATTTAGTAATTATAATTTTATTTCTTTTTATTTGCAGCTACTAAATATGCCCATGAATTGGCATTTTTCATGAAAGAGAATGGAATTGATCCCTTAAAAGGATTAATTGTTCCTCTAGTACAGGTGAACTGTTTTCTAAATTTATAATATAATTTGTAAGGTATATTTATATATAAACTACATTGACTCATTAATCCACTCATTCATTGATTTACTCAATGACATGAAATTCTTGAATGAAAGCAGACTTCATCACAAAAAAATAAAGCAATGCAATTGAAAGAGGATGTCATATATATTATTTAAAATATCCATAAACTTGTAAAATTAAGATGTGTTGTTTTGAGGCATCAAAATTTAACTCTCAATGTTTCAATGAATATCATAAGTGTCTTAACAGTTGATTTTTACATGTATAGTACTTTCTCTTTTCTTAACCTGCAATCACATGAGTAGCAGTGATGGTTTTTCACAGACATTTTTTACCAAATTGACTTACTTAGCTGTGCTTCCATGATATCCTCATGCTACATGTTATCCTTCAATCAAAAAATATTTTCCACTTATGACAGGCGCTCAAATAACCACTGTAGTAAATTGCCACCTTACACATGCACTCATGTACAATTTTTTGTTTTTATCACAGGATCACATGCATAACATGGCAGTTTTTCACTCTGACATCATTTTTGGTAACCTCCATTTGTAAGACTTCCATGATGTCATTTTCAGTGACAACATGGAAGTTTTACAAGATTGTTACAAGACATAGTCATGACGTTGTGGATATTTGTCAGCTATGCATGATATAATGATATGGCAGTAAGCAACTTGCTACAATCTTGAATGCTTATCTTCATAAGTTAGCCTGGGACTCTGATCTTCAACAATTTAAATGTTTTTATGGCTTTATTTCATATTCAAATAATACAGAAAAATCATTTTATGGTCCTTCTGAAAGTCTCATTACCTCAGCCCTCCCATTATTTTCAACTGAAGTCCATTTCACATTATCACATGCTATCTCAAAGTTTAAGAGTTCCCTATGAGAGCCCAGTCAAGGACAATGTTCTGTAAACAAGCAATATCATAAAGTAAATGTATGATGATAAAATTTGGCATGTGCAGAGAAGACACATTTCAAAGACACTCAACGTCTTGATGTATATATTTATTAATCTTGTTATGCAGGGTATATCAGAATGACGTTTTAAAAATCTGGGGGATTGTAGAGGAGGAAATTTTGAACGTTTTGATATAAGGAACCTATAGCCGAAAATGTGATATAAAGTTTCTACAGCACTTTGCACGTTCTATGCAGTCAATATGCTGAATGAAACAGCAGAATACAGTATTTATGACAAGTTTTATTGACAAAACAGTAGAGTACAATCAAACTGTACATCGAATCAGTGGCTGCACTACTTTAGAGTAAATGTTCAATGTGACGACCACCAACTTCATTACATAATGTGCAACGACAAACCATGTTTTGTCCAACCCTCTGTAAGATGCCACACTCCCCTTTGATGGTATTAAATGTTGTAAAGATGTGCTCCGTAAGCTCATGAACTGTTCTACAAGTGTTGCATATACAAGGGACTCACATTGACTAGTTGTGTGTTTACAGCACAGCGCCAGTGGATGCAAGGGGTGACCTGAAGGACGACAAGCACTAAGTACACAACATCCTGTACACAGGCTCAGTTAGACCACTGTAGTTGTGTGTTTACAGTCTTCCATCCGCAGCAATAATATGACGTCAATGGACAGAAGGGTAGCTACCAAAGTGAAGAGCAGCCAAGCACTTCCTACTGCTGTAGACACTTTAGTTCAAATTTCCAGCTACAGGTTTCTTATATCAAAATGTTCACAATTTTATCCTCTATAATCACCCAAATTTTTAAAACGTCATTCCTGTATATGTATAGTCATTAGCATTATTTGCTGTTAATCTTTTATATGATTTCATAACTATTATAGCTATGCCATATATAAAATATTAACATTTTAAACTGTTTGTAATAGTAATTTATTCATTTTTTATTTTTCATGAACATTAGACTTTTATGAGAAGATATATCAGGTTAATACCTAAGGTTTTACATATTTTTTATATAATCATTTAACTATTACATAACTGTTAAAATAAATCCCTTAACTCCAAATTCTCACATTATGAATTAAAAAATTAAACTATCTAAATTTAAATACAAATTGTTTTAAAATAAAATATATATATATTAAATATACCTTTANTACATTAATTTGAATTTATATTAAATTTATAATCAGTAATGCAAAAATGAATATATATAGAGTATAATATTGTATATGATCTCTTAATGAATTTATATATTTATATTTAATTTTTTCCTGTTTGTCTAGGCAATTCTATGCTATTGGGCTACAAGTAATATATATTCATTATGTCAGGTTGCATTTTTAAAAATAAAACCTGTAAGGAAATTTTTTAACATGCCAGAACGAAAAAATCTTCACACTTCTGAATTACCAATGAAAAGCAAAGGTTTTGTAAAAGACATGAAAGAAGGTAATTTAAATATTTTTAATCAATAAATTATTCTTTGAAGTTATATATAAAATAAATAAATACAAATGACAACAGAGTTTAAATAATCATTAATTAGAAAATTAAAAAATATGGATGCCTACAAAGTCTCCAGATAATTTAAAAGTTTGTTTTAAAATATAAATGAAGAGAAAATACTGTGCAGTTTTTTACACAATAAAGAGTATAAGTATTGAAGTTTTAAATATGTTTTTTGGTTTCAGATAAGTAAATGGCATATAAACTGATGATTAGTGCTATTTAAAACTATTTTCACAAGAAAAGACACAGTGTGAAGACTTGCGTATTGAAACAAAATCACACAAATTCAGTGAAATTTCCCATGACAAATCCTATAAATAGCTCAAGAAGTTCATGGAGATAAGAAGTGTATTGGATAAACAGAGGATAAGAATGTTATAATTCATGCAATGAATGATGTCCATAAAGAAGTTTTCTAAATTATGTGGAAAAAAACAATGTTTCTTTATTCTGTGAAGCTTATTGCTTAATAATCTCTTCATTTGTATTTTTAATAAATTTTTAAAAATTGAAAACTTTGTGGATACCCTGTGTATATATATATAATATTATTATGATTAGTTAATATATGTTGGAAGGGTTGTAAAAATATGGCCCTTTCAAATTCATAAGATAATATTACAAACTTCTCTTAAAATTATTGTGGCAATTATTGTATTGAGAGTTAATAATTGTTAATTTCAGCATGTTTATAAAGAAATTTATAATTTTATTATGCATATTAAATAATATGGTTCTAAGTTATTGATAGATTTCAATTTTAATAATTGATTCATGTGTTATAGTTAGGTGGAGAAGGAGGACAACTTCCAGCAAACATGAGACTTATGAAATATGTCTTGAGAGCAATGCCTATTGTTATTTTTCCTTTTATCATTAATTTTCCATCTGTGAGTATAATTTTACTTAATTCCTTAAAATTTATTAAATGAAGCAAATAAATATTATCTTCAACACTATTATTATTCATTATTTTAATAAATTATTATTTCAAATAATTATTTATTAAACTATTTTATTACAAATTCAGTAGAATTTAAGTTTTGAGTTAATAATATATATCAATTTATCAGGAACTACTGGAAGGAAAATCACAAGTACTAGACTGAAACACCTTTAAAATTCTAAGACAATAAAATTTAATTCAACAAACTATTATTAAATTATCAAAAATGTTGTTATGGGCTATTTAACATCATTGAAAATCTTAGTTTGTTAAATTCAAGTTTATTGTGCTGGAATTGTAAATCTAGTAATTATTATTTATATTAAATTGAATTGTATGGATGAAGATTCATCTGAATTATGCATTTTGTAAGAATAAAATATGAATTGTAGTTAATTCTTTCATCAAATTTTACTTATGATATTTTTAAATTTCATTATTGTTTTTTTCTTTATTCTACCTTTATCATAAATACTAAAATTGATAATCATTTCAATTTTGTTAACTCTGCCAATTGTAGTTAAGATTATAGTATAAGGTTGTTTGGCAATTTTTAACATCCTTTGAAAATGTTTTTGAAATTATATTCAAATCCAAACTCTCACCATAATTAATTGGGCTATTATTATGCTATAATTAATAATTAGAAACTAAGCAATTCGGTACTAGAAGTAGACATTAGGTATCTAATGTCTACCTCTAGTACCAAATTACTTAGTTTTGGCCTTTTTGGCTGGTACTTTACTTTAGTAGTGGCCTTTGGGATGTTGACATATAGGAAATTATATTCTCACCAACATATCAGATAGTGCTTTTAGTGTTTTTTTACTATTTATTATTGTTTTTCTTGAAAAACTTAAAACTGTATTTTTACATTATTATTCTTGTTTATATTAAAATTAAAATTATAAAAATAGATTTCAAAGTTACAATCACATAGAGTTTATATTCTCAGTTTATGAAAATTTATTAAACTTTTTGACATTAATGTAATCTTGTAAAAAATTTAATTTATGATTTTCATCATAGCATTTCTGAAAATGAAATTGTAATGAATGAAAAATAATTTAAAAGTTATTAAAAGTCAGAAGTTGAAATTGATATTTTATGTTTAATTTAAGTACTATTGACAGAAAAACTATCAAAAATTACTAAATGGTTTGCATTAATTTTTATATATTATGCTGTCTTTATTCTTAATCAAAAACAAATTATCAAAAATAGTCAAACACAATTTCTATAAAATATTGTATTTTAGCTATCTAAAATTTTAAGTTATATTTTTGATTATTATAACTAATCCATAATTCTTTGTTTAAAATATATAGAGTTTATTAAAATTTTAATTTTATATATAACAAGAAATTACTAATTCACTTGAAATACGATTAATCTTTACATTAATTTGAATTTATATTAAATTTATAATCAGTAATGCAAAAATGAATATATATAGAGTATAATATTGTATATGATCTCTTAATGAATTTATATATTTATATTTAATTTTTTCCTGTTTGTCTAGGCAATTCTATGCTATTGGGCTACAAGTAATATATATTCATTATGTCAGGTTGCATTTTTAAAAATAAAACCTGTAAGGAAATTTTTTAACATGCCAGAACGAAAAAATCTTCACACTTCTGAATTACCAATGAAAAGCAAAGGTTTTGTAAAAGACATGAAAGAAGGTAATTTAAATATTTTTAATCAATAAATTATTCTTTGAAGTTATATATAAAATAAATAAATACAAATGACAACAGAGTTTAAATAATCATTAATTAGAAAATTAAAAAATATGGATGCCTACAAAGTCTCCAGATAATTTAAAAGTTTGTTTTAAAATATAAATGAAGAGAAAATACTGTGCAGTTTTTTACACAATAAAGAGTATAAGTATTGAAGTTTTAAATATGTTTTTTGGTTTCAGATAAGTAAATGGCATATAAACTGATGATTAGTGCTATTTAAAACTATTTTCACAAGAAAAGACACAGTGTGAAGACTTGCGTATTGAAACAAAATCACACAAATTCAGTGAAATTTCCCATGACAAATCCTATAAATAGCTCAAGAAGTTCATGGAGATAAGAAGTGTATTGGATAAACAGAGGATAAGAATGTTATAATTCATGCAATGAATGATGTCCATAAAGAAGTTTTCTAAATTATGTGGAAAAAAACAATGTTTCTTTATTCTGTGAAGCTTATTGCTTAATAATCTCTTCATTTGTATTTTTAATAAATTTTTAAAAATTGAAAACTTTGTGGATACCCTGTGTATATATATATAATATAATATTAAAATTGGCAATTATAAAAATAGAAAAGATATTTTTTAGGTACAGTAGAAGTCTGTTTATCTGAAGTAATATGGACCAATACTAATTTGGATAACTGAAAACTCAGATAAAATGGATAACCAATTTATATTAAAAATTATTAATATGAAAGATTTATATGATATCACTATTAAGCCTCTTTTTATGTTTTAGTGAACTTATTCATATGTAAGAACATTTTTTTACATTATTATACAGCTAATACATGAAATAGTTTTAAGAATAAAACTGCATATTATAGTTAAATTTTAAAATTAATAATAATAAAAATGATAAAAGTTTAAAAAACTGTTTAATGGGGCTGAAAAATACTTTAATTTAAAAATATATAAAATACAAGAATAAACTCATCCTTTTCCAACTTCAGAGGTGATTTTAAAACATTCAAACAACACTTAAATCTATAAAGAATTATTTTAATTCTTAAACTTCATAAGTTAAAAATAAGATTTAATATGAATAGTTTCTCACATTGAAGTTAAATGGTAAAGGGTAACACAAACAAACCATTTTGTAATACTTGTTATCATTTTAAACTTTCTTTAAAAAATCCTTTAGAGTTTCTTGTATTATAGCAATTCCTCTCTTGTTTGTTGAAATGTTTCATAGTCATTTTAATATCATTTTTAGCATGCTCCACTGTAGTAGTGAAGTGAAGTGCCTATGTTAGGAGTTTTGTTTGTCTGTTAGACATTATAAATTCAAGATTATGATTTGTTTAATCCATTCATTGTGCATGTCCATGCATGCACAATGACTCTGTTCACTTTTGTTACCTAAGTGTTATGTTTCATTCAATCCATTCATTGCACAGGTGCGTGCACATGTGCAAAAGGGAACTGAACATTTTCATTTATGGTTACTGTAAGCTATAGTAAAAACTATGTGGTTTCTCTGGAATCTATAAATCACATCCCTTACAGTATATTCAGTGAAAAATTCTTCTGAACAACTACTTGATTCCAAGAATTTATAAAATTTATTTTAAACAAAATTAATATTTGATTCATTTTTGTTGAGCATGCTATCAGATCAGCTTGACCAATCTTTTTTCATCCATTATCACTGAGCTACCCCTCATTATGAGCCTGGCACAAAAGGTATGAAAAAATGCCTGTAATGTCCACAGGATGGAAAAAGTTTAAAAGAATGTTATCTCAACCTAGCCATGCACTTGGTTCTGTACAAGTTACAAGTCACTGTAGTATTTATGCACTCAATGCATTCACAGCAAAACTTTTATGAATTATAAGTAAAGCAGTTTATTCACTTATGTATATAGATACTATTGTTAAAAGCTAGATACATTATAAATAGAGATTATTTGGAAATAAAAACAATTTTTATTAATTACTTTATATATGTTTTAGGAAATTTTGTAAAAAGATATGTATGCATAAATAAGTGAAAAATAAAATCTCTTNTCACAATGCTAAACTTCAATTTTTTATCATATTTTTAATTTATTTAATTTAAAATGTATGTTCTCCACCTCAAATCAGTAGTGTCTTGCACCTATATATCATACTTCTCCATTAGAAATAGAGTTGTGCCAGTTATCTATATAAGGCTTTTTAGGAAAAAATCTTTGTTGAAATAATGTAACTTTCAATTTGCACCACAAGTTTGCATATAGTTAATCAGGTTCTCCTGCCCTAGTCTTTCCATATCTGATCTCTTCTTTCACCTATCTAACTCTATTCTCAAGATTAAGGAGAGACAGACAGACAACAGTTGGAATTTATAGGTCTACAATTTTTTTCAAATTACAGCCCAATAAGTTACATTATAAAAAAATAAATGCATAATTATTATTAACTCAAATATTTATATGAAAATTGCACTATAAACATCAGAACTAAATAAAAATTACATGAGAGGATAGTAATATATATGTTTTAGGAAATTTTGTAAAAAGATATGTATGCATAAATAAGTGAAAAATAAAATCTCTTTTGTTAAAATAACATTTTGTACTCTGAAAAACTGATATTCTGTATGATTTTAAATCAGTACCGAAGTTCACTGGAGTCCAAAATTTTGGCAGTTATATTTATAAACAGTATTGCTGGCAGGATTTATTTCAAAGGATGCATCAGTGCACAATTGAGCCTAGTGATTGAAATCAAATACTGCCATAATAGTTATGCAAAATTAATGAAACTTTGCAAGCTGAAAAAGATTGCTTTGTGCATTTACAAATAAAATAAAATTTCCATTATATATTTTTTTTTCTGTTTTTCACAATGTTTTGTTTCATCTGGGATGAAAGTTGCCCCTCTCATGGCATCTTTGGTTATTTATAAAGCTTTATTTTATTAATTACTTATGAAGTTCCAATTCAGAAATGTTTCTCAACAGTACTTTGTATTGCATTCAATAATACTCTGGAAATTATTGACTCGTAACTCAATATCATTTTGATTCATGACTTTTGGATGAGAGACCTGGACATTGAATGATACCTAATCTCTCTTGGACCTCTCACAGACCGTTAATACTTTTATGTCAAATAAAAGTATTAACAGACTAGTCTAGACTACAATTTATTAATTAACCTGAATTAATTATTAGTGAATCATTTTCATTGTGATTATACAAAATTTAGCTGTTTAATTTTAAATTTTATGTACTTTTGTTCATTTCTATATTTCTATTTTTTTCTTCAGCATACACCAATGCCAAAGTAACCCGTCAGTTAGAAGAGAGGAGATATTTAGACGATGTGCAGTTTAAAAAAGCAGGTTTAGGACCAATACAGAAAACATATCCTTATGATCCTACCAAGCAGTCAGCAGCTTCAGTTCAGAATAAGTCAAAGAAGTTATAATTTAAAAATATTCCATAATGTATTTTATTTTATAAAAATAAAAATATGTTGAATAGTATTATCATTATTATGATAATGTGTAGTCAGAAAAAATAAATTATATTTATATGACATACTTTTCTACATGCCAGAGGATTGTTTAAGTCCTTTAGTTTATTATTTTAATATAGAATCTAGTTAATGTATGGACTGTAAATGTTGGTTACAGGCTTTGTAGAATAACTTTATAATAATTATAAATACCTAACAAAGGACAGACAGACAGACGGACGACAATGGGAGTCTATGGGTCTACAATGCTCTCAACCTCAAATTAGTAGTGTCTTGCTCCTGTATATCATACTTTTTTTGCTAGCAATAGAATCGTGAAGGTCATATAACTCCGTTCTGGAGATTAAGGAAGGACAGACTGAGGACAGTGGGAATTTATAGTTTCTGTTAACCACAATTATAATAAAAGTCTTATTTATTTAATCTCTTATTTTAATCTACAGTAAAAATGGGTATACAGTATTTAGAAATCTTGTAATATAATTGAGATGGGTAATATAGCAAAAACCAAATGGTTAATGTTGAAATTCGGTACACAGCTAGGGTACCCCATGAGAATGCACACTAAAAAGGGATTTTTAGAAATTCCCCCACGGGGAAAAGGAAAAGGATTAACACACCGAGTGCCCAATCTAACACATTTTAAAAATTCTTTATTCCTCTACTGTACACAATTTAAAGAATTTTTAAAATGTGTTTAAAATGGGGACTCGGTGTGATAAACCCTTACATAAGATAACATTTGTAAATGTAAATCAAATACTATAATATAATAGAAGGGTTAGAAGTACGAAATAATTTAATAATCTTAGTCTTTGCTGTTGTTACTTTTTTGCCCAAGCAATGCTGGGATCATCTGCTTGTATCAATTTACAGTATATTTGTTATATTGCTCGTTATTAGCATTTACAAATTTTCATAAAATTCACTCCTACTCTCAAAATTATGCTTTTTGCCATTTTATAATAATTAAAAATAGACATTTCTTATAACAAAATCCCATAACAGATGGCGCCACACACAATTTATTTATTATGATTAATAGTATAAATGTTTTTTGAAATAGATTTTCAAAAAACTGTTGTTTGTTGATAATGGAATTTGGGACCCCTAGGGCAGTGATTCCCAACCCGGGGTACGCGATAGGTTGTTTAGGGGTACAGAAAAAAGTTAGTTACTATGGCAGAAAAATAATATATTTTGTATCACAAATTAATAGTATTAAAAAATTATTAGGTAAAAAATGTTCCTTGCAGCAATTACAAACTTTATTATACATTTCAAAATGCAAAAATAGAAATAAAAACTTATGTTGACGATTGTACAATGCAACAGATCAATAAATGTTGGGCAGTCCGTCAATGGTAGTGGGTGATTAGTGATTATGCTACGGACTTTTGATGGTGGGGTGTGTTACCGTTATTATTATCATCTTTCAACAATATCTCCACGTATTGTTTGAAAAAAGTATTCTTTTGTTTATAAAAAGTATTTTTTATTGTTAGCAAGGAAAAAGACATAGCTAATTTCATCAGATTTTCTCTACAAGAGGTAATTTTTTTTCATTATTTATTCAATATTTTCATTAATTTTTTATTGACAAGATTGTCTTGTTTACAAAATCGTACTGCCTGCTGTGTTACCAGCTTAGAGGTATGAAGGAGTACATGTCAAAAGTTGCAATTTGGCACAAAGTATTAGGTGCCCAAATCATGCGCGCATAAAAAAAAACAGACTTGTTGGTACTCAGGGTACCGTGAACCGAGTCAAAATAAAATTCAAAATGGCGACACACTCTACAAACAGGCAGTGCGAGATTTGCGCATGCGTTGCTCGTTGGGAAGTTGGAAATGCCACGGGGGTACGCTAATGAAAAAAGGTTGGGAACCGCTGCCCTAGAGAATTAATAAAAAGATAACCCAGACGAAAAAGGGATATAAGCCAAAAGTGCCAGGGGCACTTGGAATTTGTGTCCCTTAAGAGTGCCCCAGAGCTAAGTTTTCAACGGAACTGCCAAGTGATGAGGCTGTTGTAAGACGGCCGGATGGCCGAACGATCAAGGTTGCAGCCTACCGCTCTGGCAGACCCGGAATCGAATCCAGACGGGTCAAGGAATCTCCAGGAATTTTTCGGGGGGTTAGTCCGTTCGGATATGTCGGGCCCGTTCCTCACCACCCGGTCGCCCCATTGTGGACCTGGCCGAACCCATTATGTGCCTACTATAAGAGGCCCTCTTAGTGCCCACAGGGCGGAAAGAGTATAAAAAAAAGAGGCTATTGTAAATTATTCCCTGGTTCGTTGCTAATATATAAACTGTTTTTATAGTTCTCTAAGCTCGTTATTTTTTTTAGTTTTTCATTCAACGGGAATAGTTAACGATCGCTTCTTAGACATTGTTATCGTTAAGAGAATTAATATTTAATTTAAAAATACTCATCAATTTTTATTGTTTGATTAACAAAGTGACAATGTTACCCAATTATTTCGAAAACGCTGTGAATTTATGCGTACTTATATGTCACATTTCTTCTTTTGATAATTTTAAATTAAAAAAAATCTAGCAACGACAGTTGCGTAACTTTTCCGGTAGTTGTGAGTTTTTATTTAAAAAAAAAACTTTTATATTATTAATAAAAAAAATAAATTGTGTTTGGCGCCATCTGTTATCAGATTTTGTTATTAAAAGCTTTATTTAAAATGTAAAATTAAATAATTCGATGGGATATGTTATTAATTTAAAACTGATTAAAAATATATAACTATAATTCTAAAAAAAATTAAAATCCAGAATATAATCTTCGAGTAAACACGCAATCGGCACCGATTTCGATGGATAAAAAAGAAAAAGTAAAAATCAATTTTAAATTAAAAACTTTCTATACTTTTAATTACTATAAAATGGCAAAAAGCTTAATTTTGAAAGTAGGGGTGAGTTTTATAATTAAAAAAAGTGTAAATGTTAACGAATAAAATCTTCGTTAAGTCCTACCCCCTCTCGAGATATGACATATGACCCTCTCTATCTCCTTACCCTTTCGACCTTTTACCATAAAATTTAATAGCATCAATGCTCTCTTATATACAAGCCAACATGCCAAATTTCATTTTTTAATCTTTACCCCATCTTAAAATATTAAGCGAAATACAAACCAACACACACACACATATTCATGGAAACTTTTTTGAATTCAAGTGGTCTCAAAACGTGGATATTTATACAATAGATCCGATAGAGGTAGTATAGATACAATAGACCCGATAGAGATAGTAATATCAAGTCATCAATCTCTAATAATCAATTAATCATAAAGTCATTTGGAACGATAGTGCCTAATCGTAAAACAAGAAAAATAAAACATCGACAACAAGGCCGAGCGCATTAGGGTTTTCAAGAGTGATATTCCCCTTCCGAAAGTAATTAAAAATTAAATAAAACAGTAAGTATATTATATATAATATTTATTTTATAATAAATCATCCAATACCCGATGCTGAGAAAACGTTTATTAAAGAAACATTAACGTTTTCGACCTAATATGATAGGCCGTCTTTATTTTATAGTGAAGAACATAATACAGAAGACTAACAAGGAACTGACAACAATACAGCCGACTATGGAAGAGCTAAACAAGTATTTAGTTGTCTTTCTCTCTCCCATTGTCTCTAAGTTGGTCTAAGTTGGTCTAAGTTTTCTTAACTCCCTTCCCCTCTTCGGACGTCTAACGAAACTCAACCCTTCTCAAACCTTTCATTACTTTATGAATAATAAAATGCATAAAATGTATAAAGTTTAATGAAATAAAACGGACATCCATTGAAGTCCAACTCCTCCCCTCGTCCAACTTTGTTCGACTTTCTCTCCTTCCTCTCTTCAAGTGTGGATATCATTTATGACCCCCTTTATAATGTACCTATATTGTGAAGAATAAACTACATTATCAAAAAATAATGTTATTTTTTCAAACTCCATCCTTTTAAAAATCCCGATCGATATTAAGTGATGGTTGATAGAAAGCAGCCTTATGGACAACATCATATAATAATGCATATCATTAAACAGTCATTTGATCCCTTGATAAATCGTACTAATCCGATTTAACAAGGACGTCTGTACTATGACAGAGTCCAGTAAACGTTTATTTATGCTGAATGTTGGTTGTTAAATTTGATCTTTTCATATTGAAATTATTCGGTTTCAAAAAGCGTTATATTTAATATATATTTTTTAAAATATTATTTTAAAAAGTGTTTTCGATTATTAATAATGTGCTTAATATCAAACAAATTAATGTCATAAAATTTTTACAGGACAACTTTTTTTCCTTAGCTTATGGATGAAATATCAGAATGTTATTTACGGAAGTTCATTACGACATTCATTCGCTGAAATACACTTTCACACTCAAGTTTAATTGACGTTCGTAAGGCTTCAGCCTACTTTTCTGAATAACCCGAAAACAAATCCTGGTGGGTTGAAAAAGCTTAGAAATTTTTCGGGGGGTGGCCCGTCTCGGATATGTCGTCCCATCCTAGCATTGCCATTGTGAACTTGGCCGAACCCACGATGACCTTAATAAAAAAAATCCTTCTTTAAAGAAAATAAAATAAAAGAAACAAGTTTAGTTATAATGTTCAATTTATTTACATTAAAGTTTATGTATAAAGGAATATAACACGTAAATAAACCTGCAACGAATTGCTTAACTTTCCTGGCAACATTTAAAACTTTTCGACAAAAAAATACAGCAGTTATCAAGCTTCAAAGAGGGTGAACAAAATCGTGTCCCCCCCACACACAGTCGCCGATCAATGACAATATGGCAATTGATATCAATAAAAAATTCATTTGTACAATAAATCAGAAAATAAAATGATAATAAATGAACAAATAAAATAATTAAAAAGTTTATTTTTTTAGATGACTCTCGTCTTTTTAATTCGGTTACTGGAGATATTATATATTTGATTTTCAATTTGTTATTATACATGTAAATTCCACTCGTGCAGCATTTATCTCCTATAGCAATATTC